AAGAGGAACTGTAATAATCTGAACAATAAAGATTTATTTTAAAAAAAAAAAGAGGTAAGTCAGAAAGAAAAATGTGAGTCCTGGCTTTAAGGGACTAATATATGTAACTATCCAAATACAAAGTTTAACATAAATTTATGAAAGAGCTTTAATTAAAGAGCTATAGGATTTCAAAGGTAGTTGTGGGACTAACAGAAGAATCTATGAAAGAGATGGCAATTAAAATGGTTAAAATGAATACTGATGGATGGGTAACAATTGGATGATAGCCTATAAACTCCTGAAAGAACTATATTTTATTCACGTTGGTGTCCTTACTACCTCACAAAATATCTGCAATATGACATTCAATAAACGTTTAAGAAACTTGGGAGGAGCAAGGCACACCCTCTATTTTCTTCAGTGTCAGTATAATATAGACATGAGCCCTGGCAGGTGTGGCTCGGTTGGAGTGTCATCCTGTACATCGAAAGGTTGTGGGCTCGACTCCTGGTGAGGTGGATGAGCAAAAATAGCGAAGACTAGCTAGTAAAAAAAGTTCATGAAAGGGGATGGCAAGAACTAAGGTGAGAAAATTAGGTGAAAACAACATGGAGTGCCATGAATGACAATCTTTATTATGCAGGCAAGGAGAGAACACTGTAAACTCTTACCAGGAGGTGATGATATGGGGAGTCTAATAGGAGACCTCTGTTTGAAAAAATAAATTTATTACCACTTCACCCATACTGTTTAAAATTCTACCACTAGGAATTATTTTCTCTTAAGGCATAACCTTGTTAGGAATCTTCTTAATATGCAAATCCTCTTGAGAGGTCATAGAAAAAGCCATTGTCATTCACTTATATGTTAGTATTAAGTTGGATAATCAATTTATCTTCTCCTGACTAGAGTGAGTACACAGCCATTGGGGAAATGGGAATTTTGACTTCACTCTGAGACACTACTTTGGAAAGACAGGGTGCAAAAACAGAGGTTAATTAATACCTTTGCTTAAATGCCAACTCTGTTCTTTCCAAAAGCAGAACTGAGTAAAGAGAAATAAAAGACATTATAATCTCCCAATGTGGGAAATATTAAATGGATGGCACAAAAGGTAAGAAATAAGGAGAAATGTACATAACCAACTGAACTTTTTTGGGGGGGGTGGGGTAAGATTTTGTGGAATTTAGACACTACATACTGAGTTGAGTTTTCCTCAAAAGTGGCAAATAATGACTTTACCTAAATCACATTGAATCACAACTTCATGAATAATTGTGATGCACAATTATTATTCAATGAATATGATGGTGCGAGGAGAAGAAATTTAAAAAGAAAGTCACAGAAATAGTGTTATCTACCAAAAATAATATCAGGATAACAGCCATGTGATAACCCTGGGGCTTCCATCCAGATTTAAGAGAAGCCAGGGATCTCATGTGGATGGTTTTCTGCTTTCTACAACTCAAATCCTCAATCTAGGCCGGACAGGGCTTACTTTGCTGTCTGGTTTGCACGCAAGGAAAACACTGGGGCGCGTTTCCTCTGGGGTCCACCAAGGGACCCCAGGTTCCCAGCGGAATGGGGGGGTGGGATGAGCACTCACCGCTTGTCGATGGCATCGATGTTTGAATGGAGGAGCCACAACTCCTCCGTGTTGTCCTGCCGGGAGGACAGGATCAGGTGGTGGCCAGTTAGACACAAGGTCCCCTCAACGGCGGGATAGAATGGTCGGTGGAGCACCACATTGTCCACCCGCGGGGTCTTAATCAGCTCCGCGAACTCCATGGTCCCCGGCGGCCGGAGCCAGGGGACGGCCGCGTCCCGGGGATGGAAGGCGGTTACACCGCCGCAGGGCTGAAGAGAATGACCCGGCGCGGGGC